ACTAAGTCCCAAATGTGATCTGCGTTAGCTTGTTTATTTTCTGTTACTTACCGGACATTCCTCTGCTGCATCAGCCCCCACGTTTTCGTCTCAAATGTTCACTTAGGGACGTCGTGCTTCCGTCGTGCCATGGTTTTTGCATATTTTGCAGGTCACCGGTCTTTTCAAGGCATCTAGTGAAGTGCTCCCATACTCGTGAGGATTTTGTCCGGGGTTTCTCTTGTTTTGTCGCTTCTATTTTTCTTCCGTATTTCTTGTTGATCCGCCATCTCTCACAGCAAGATGAGCGTCAGTAACGTGATACGTCATGAAAACCGAGGGCACTTATTGGCTCATTTCTTCTCCTACGGCTCCACTGGTAGATCAGTGGCTCATTACTGCCACACACTGGCGGCAAATTTAACAGATTGTAAGCGATGTCAGATTGGGGTAAAAAATAGACTTTATGCGGTAAAATATGATTATTAAACAACTAATCGATGACTAAAAAAGTTGTTAACTATTTTAATAATCGATTATAATCGATTAAATCGATTAGTTGTTTCAGCTCTAAAATGAATCATATTACCAGATTTTTAAAAATGAAAATACTTTTTTTTTATCAGTACAGATTATAAACACAGTCTACCCTTAATGGCTTCATGTGAGTCACTTACACACTCCTACAGAAAATGCAAAACGCAGAAAAACGTTTCCTAATTTCATTTTTTGATTGGCGTCAACAAAAAGTATTATTTCATTAAATGTTTATCTCAAATTATTTTATTTTAAATTGTTTTCCTGTAATCCCCATTATTGCTTAATTAACTAAATTTAATTATTTAACTGAGCAATGTTTGGCATTGTGTGTAAACTGCACTTTTCTGTCATGTATAGGTTATAATTCAAGAGTTCTAAGAAAATCAGTAGTTTTTAGGTTAATCTCTGGAAATATCCATCAAACATTGCTGAAAATGAATAAAATGATGTCCATTTGTTGAAAAATATTGGTGGCTTTGTACCATATAACCATAGAAATCGGGTCTAAAGTACATAGGGCATAGCCTGGCCTGCCAGACTCATCCTCTGTTTAATTCTGCACAGATAACTAGTCTGGTTACTGACTGGCAGAGAGGCGCATGAGGGGCGGGACTAGCCGGCTCAAAAATAACCAATCAGAAAAATGGCGGAAATGTCTAATGTATCACTGTAATTTTTTAGCTGTAGTCAAAAATGGCGTCTAGCGACGGCGCAAACATCTTGTTTTAAGAAGAAATGCTTTTAGAGCTTCTTGTGGTTTTAAAGACATTTTCAAGTCATTAGAACAGAGGAAAGAGCCGCAGTGAACTCCTCTTCAGACGCCATGTTTATGAGAAACTCAGAGTTGAGGTGTGTGTGTGTGTGTGTGGCGTACGGTGCTCAGAGCTGATTGGCTTGGTTAGAATTCTCGGGGGTGGGGCTATTTGAATAGAATAGTTCCCAGCTCCACGCTTCCCATAAGGAAGGGCGTTGGTCTAGCGTGTTTGGGGGGCACCTTGTTTCCTTCTGGCCAGCTCGGGGTGCTGCGCCTGTTGATGACATCACACTAGATAACGTACAACTTACAGAAGTTACGTTACCATGTTCAAAATCATTTAGGCAGCAAGAAACAAATTTAATAACAAAACTGTTTCCCAAACCTATGTGAAAAAACAGAATTGAAAAAGAGATGCAATGTATTTTGGCCATTCATTATTGCCGTAGTATGATGACGTCATCGGCAGGCGCAGACCCCTGAGCAGATCCGGAAAGTACAGCACCAGAAAACTATAGTTGGCGTTGCATTCTTTCATGGAATTGACTGAAGGACCATAAAAGTCTGAGGAGTCATGCCAAGGTTGCATGTTTTCTTCTCCACAGGTGACATTTAAGCCCCCTTCAGACAGGCCATGAAAAACGGAAATGTTCCGGAATCTGTCCGTAAGACCTTTCTGTCTGAATACAAACATCCGGATAACGTGTTCCAGAATTTATCCGGACGAAGCCCCTAGTAACAGGTCCTGACTTGTTACGACAGGGTGGCTGCTTCAGACTGGTGAGGTAAAGTTCCGGACAAGGGGGAGGAGGAGGGGACCGGGGGACGCTGTGCGCACCTATATAACTCGCTCCTGTAGCATGCGGCGAACCACGGCAGCTCGCCTCCTACGGTACCGTCTAGACGCGCGACGGACCGCTTCACACCGCTTCAGTGATTCCTTTAACCATTGAGCTTCATCATCCAGGTCTCTTATGCTTCTTCGTGTGCGCAGAATTATGCTTAAGCGCCTCGTGATTTTTATCTTGAGAGGCGCTATAGAAATGATATTTTATTCTTCTTCTTCTTCTTAACATGAGTCCGATTCTCCCCCCCACCCCACCCCCCGCCGCCGTCAGACATCTGGAACTTTTCCCTGCTGTGTGAACGCAGCCGAAAGGACAAGTTCCGGTACAAAAGTGGTGTGTCTGAAAACACAGTTCCGGTTAAAAACCGGATTGAATTGTCTGCAAATGTTCCAGAATGTCTGTCTGAAAAGGGCTTTACTGTAATGTTTTTAAACTAGCAACAGGAAGCAATTGTTTAAAATGACCCTGAAATGTAAGTATGTACTGCCTCCTAGTGGCAGGAAACTACACACTGCCACTTTAAGTGTACCAAAAATAAAGAGTTCACCCTAAATCTACTGAAATTATGGCAAAACCACATGGCCTAATTCAATCTGTCATTTAATTTTCACAATTATTATTATTACCGTTCATATTATTTTGTCACATTCCATTTTGCAAGCCTGCCCGTATTTTATTTACTTTATTCTCTTTCGAAAGCTGATATCCTATAACAATGTTTTTAAACGGCAGCGCAAATAAGGCTGGCAGAACGAGGGGAGCACACTCTGGCAGTAAGTCTTCATAATTTCAATGATGGCCTCTCCACTGACTGCTAATTGAATCTTTGTAGTGCACATAAAAAAATAAACCCACATCTTAATGCTTCTGTTGCAGCCCTTTGTTTTTATACATGTCTGAAAGGAAAGGATGGAACTCCAACGGCTGAACTTTGATTCATTCTGTACATTTATTTGTCTATATTGACCCAAAAGGGAAATCCTTGTCTGTACCAGTAATGAGGAAATTCCCTCTCAGATATCAGAGACCTTTTTCTCTCTTAAAGCTCATGTTTTGGCACAAAGTTATCATAGGCAAAGTGCCTTTAAGCAACCGGGGTCCGGAACAGATCTCAATGGAAACATTTAGCCTCTCAGCGGCCGTTGACTTGCGGTATAGCTGAACCATCACCACCTACAAGATGAATTTGTAAACTGACTTTCGTCTTTGCTGTTTCCTGTGGTGAAAGCAATTGTGATGTGGTTGCCACAAGCAGATAACACTCCGTTTCTAGGGAAACAGAGTGTACAGGACTCATTTGCAACACCACAGGAAAATGTGGTTGTCAAAGTGACAGGTTGTGTGTGTGTGTGTGTGTGTGTGTGTGTGTGTGTGTGTGTGTGTGTGTGTGTGTGTGTGTGTGTGTGTGTGTGTGTGTGTGTGTGTGTGTGTGTGTGTGTGTGTGTTGTGAAACTGAAGTTAAACTGCACTTCATGTCATGTCATTTATTTTTTAACAGTTGATTAAAAAAATGTAGGCGTCTCCTGTTGTGAGATCTTACCACAAGGAGACCTGCAGAGCTCATGGAAACATCTGTGCCCATTTCCGCGCTGGTCTCTCTACCACAAAGCATTTCGGTTGTAGCTGAATGAGAGAAAGCAGAGGAAGTTTAGTGGTGAAGGTGATTTCATTTCTTTATGATGGAAAAAGGCCTTTGCTTCCCTGTTCGCTAGTATTCTGGAGGTCACCATCAGGGAGAAAATTTGCCTCCCAAATTGAGTTTCGAGTCTCGATCGTCTGCCTGCAGACGGGTCCAGACTCACGCCCTGCTGACAGTGCTCTTCTTACAATTTCAGCTCCAACTTTCATCTCCAGCTGCCCACTAGAGCAGAAAATGACAACAAAAACTGAGCTGCTCCCTGATTTCCGATGGCTTTTGTTTATTTGCAGTGATTTCATTTGTTTGGTGGAAGTTTGGTTGGAAGAAGGAGTGTGAGAGAGACTTGTGGTTTTATAAGTTACCGACAGCCGAAATGCTTTACGCCAAACTCTCATGGCAAAACGCCACTTGAACGTTGACTCAAACTTTAAAGTAACTCTTTGTAGTCTGGGGTGGATTTCCATATGTTGATGGTGTCACTTTGATTTCTCTAAAGAACTTAATATCTAAGAAATTGAAATGGGTTTGGTTGATTTTCTGTCGTGAAATTGATTTGACCTTTCTAGGCCCGTCCTCTTCAGCCTTTTTGGATCCTTTTGGTCTTGTCTGATGCAGAGTGACGCTTCTATAAACTTGTTGGAGTTCAAAGGCTCTTTACCTACCTAAGTTGCTGTGATTGCACATTTAAAAGATAATTTTTACTCAAACGTCAGAAGCCAAGGCTTCCCCAGAGATTGCTGCAGTAGAAGCGGGTGATCGGTGTCATTGATTTTGTGGTTGATTTGTGTCTCTTTTATTTACCAGCAGTGGTTTGCTGCAGAAGACATTAGAAGGCATTAGGAGAGGAGATCTAAAGATGAATCTGATTATAAACCAGAAAGTCTCATCTATTCAATTCAATTCAAGTTTATTTATATAGCGCCAAATCACGACGAGTCGTCTCAAGGCACTTCACATAATAAGCATTCCAATTCAGGTCAGTTCATTAAGCCAATCAGAAATAATGTTTCCTATATAAGGAACCCAGCAAATTGCATCAACTAGTCGTCAGTGACTTTACAGCAATCCTCATACTAAGCAAGCATAAAGCGACAGTGGAGAGGAAAACTCCCTTTTAACAGGAAGAAACCTCCAGAGAATCCTGGCTCATTATAAGCAGCCATCCTCCACGACTCACTGGGGATCGAGAAGACAGAGCAGGCGCACACACACACACCTGACAGTTATTCTTTCCCTGCAGGAATCCTTTTCTCCACCTTGGTGTTCGGACCTGCCTGTGGCTTCATCCTCGGCTCTCTTTGCACTAAATTATATGTAGATTTCATCTTCATCGATACCGGTGAGTTCAATGCCCCCCCATCTGTGTGTATTTGATTTTAGTTGGTTCTCTCTGGATGCTCAGTGACCTGTCCCCCTCCACAGGTATGCTGGGCATCACTCCAGATGACCCTCGGTGGATCGGGGCCTGGTGGGCCGGCTTCCTCCTGTGTGGTGCCTTATTGTTCTGCTCGGCTCTCTTCATGTTTGGCTTTCCTCACTCGCTGCCAGTGAAGGAGAGGGACGAGGAAGCAGAGAGCGACCAGGTTATGCTCCCTCCTCCTCTCAGCCCGGAATCTCCTAAGCCCAGCAATGGAGTGGTGCTCTGCGTTGAGCCTGCCAACGGCGCCACCTGCTGTCAGCAGCTGAGAGGTGAGCTTGTTCTGCAGGTTTTATGACTGGAAAGCATTTAGTGAAATCTAAAAATGATAGTTGCAATGTAATTACCCTAAATACTCGTTAGTACTAGCTTTGGTTTCTCTTCTTTTTTCAACAAAACTACAATCTAAGGACAAGTTTTTGTAGTTTCTGCTTCAGAAATGGTGTGAGTTGTTACCTAAACTTAACATTAAGTGAGATTTAGATTAAAAAAGCTAAAATTTCCATTTCCTTGTTGTTTTGATTACCAGTGATCCCCAAAGTGACCAAACAACTGCTATCCAACCCGGTGTTCACCTGCGTCATCCTGGCAGCCTGTATGGAGGTCGCCGTCGTGGCGGGCTTCGCGGCCTTCCTGGGAAAATACCTGGAGCAGCAATTCAACCTCACCACAACCTCAGCCACCCAGCTGCTAGGTCTGCAGACATGACAACTATATGCATGGATACGTGTGATATAAACATGTTTTGACCAGATTTACGGCTTCAGGTATGACAGCCATCCCATGCGCATGTCTGGGGATCTTCATGGGTGGCCTGCTGGTGAATAAGCTCAACCTCTCAGCTCTGGGAGCCATCCAAATGGCTATGATGGTCAACCTGGTTTCTACTGCCTGTTACGTGTCTTTCCTGTTCCTGGGCTGTGACACGGGTCCCGTTGCAGGAGTCACGGTCCCTTATGGCAACGAGTAAGAAAGAAACTCATATTTAGTCCAAAAAACAGATCACCTTCAAGTATTTACACTGTTTTCAAAGTTTGTTTTTTAAGTGAAAACATCCAGCAGTATTTTATTTCTAGCACAGATAATAAGGCAGTAAGCGCAAAAGGATTTCAAACATAAAATCTGCTACATTTAAACAGTTAAGTAAATAAATAATAGAAAAAAAAATAACTTTTTTCACTTTTTTACTGAAAAAGACCAAGCATTCTGTTGTGTCACAAAAACACAACATTTTATAATCTGGTCAATAATTTGTGTATTTTTTGAAGAAAACCTCTTAGTTCTGTAAGATTTTCAAATAATAAGAATAAAATGTGGTTTATCACCTGATTCATTCATTAAGAAAATTGATTTTATTTGCAGACTTAATCACGTCAGTGTTAATTGCAATAATGGGTAAAGCTTCCTTTTACAGTCCCCAATTACTAAGTACTTACATGGTAATTACATAGTAAGTTAAAGTGATTTATTATTTCTGAGTTCTTAAACAGTTATTACCATGTAACTCAGGTTCAAATCTATTTTTTAGTTTTATTAATAATTTCCAGTAAATACTGCTTTACACAATAATTACACTTTATTAGAATTATACACTTTAATTACACAATAAAACACTAACTTACTGTGTAATTACCATGTAAGTTCTTAGTAATTAGGGGACTGTCAAAGGAAGCGTTACCCAATAAGGTTACAATACCATCAGGATCTCATTATAAAAATTTTGGGAAGAAAAAAATTATTAAGGGAAACTTTTTTTATACAGCAAAGGATTTAAAAAACTTGAGATGCTTAAATGCACTTTGGTGAATTTCTTTACACATATCAATTAAACAGCTGCTATTCCGGCTTGTTTCCACTCTAAAATGATCTCTGATTTCAAACTGTTGTAGTTCGAGAAGTTAGCTGTAATAAATTCCAGCGTTCACTTTTTGTCTTATCTAAGTGAAAGATGAATATTTGTACAGATTTTTTGGGCTGACCAACACTGGTTGTTTGTTTGTCGGTTTGTTTGTTTGTTTTTCCTTCAGGACACTAAATGTGGGAGAGAAACCAGAAGCTCATTGCATCAGTCACTGCCACTGCTTCACCTCCTCCATCAGCCCCGTCTGCGGCTCCAACGGCATCACCTACCTGTCTGCCTGCTTCGCCGGCTGCAGCCCGTCCGTTATCTCTCAGGTCGCGTCAAACACCTCTCAGGTTTGCACTGCTTTGTGAAAACCCTCAGAATTCTCATAGATCTGTAAACTAGAGCAGTGTCCAGCATCTCACACACACACACCTCTCTTTAAACTCACCTGCAGCTTTCTATTTCCCCCTTGCTCACAGAACCTGACTGGATGTTCTTGCATACCTACTAAAACCGGACACGCCTCTGCAATTCCAGGGAAATGTCCAATGCCGGGCTGCCAGGAGGTTTTCCTTATCTTCCTGTGTGTGATTTGTGTCTGCAGCATGGTGGGAGCCATGGCGCAGACGCCCTCCGTCATGGTCCTGCTCAGGTAGAAATGAATTTCGTAAATGAGATCAGAGACAAAAATGGCTTCAGAAAAATGCAACAATGTCATTGGTTTTGTTTCTCTTGAAGGACCGTGAACTCTGAGCAGAAATCATACGCTCTTGGAGTTTTTTTCCTTCTGCTGCGACTTGTTGGTAAGAGTTTAGTTTTAATTCAATTCAGTTCAATTCAAGTGTATTTATATAGCGCCAAATCACGACAAGAGTCGCCTCAAGGCACTTCACATAATAAACATTCCAATTCACAGTTCATTAAGCCAATCAGAAATAATGTTTCCTATATAAGGAACCCAGCAAATTGCATCAAGTCACTGACTAGTGTCAGTGACTATACAGCAATCCTCATACTAAGCAAGCATGCAGCAACAGTGGAGAGGAAAACTCCCTTTTAACAGGAAGAAACCTCCAGAGAATCCTGGCTCAGTATAAGCAGCCATCCTCCACGACTCACTGGGGATCGAGAAGACAGAGCGCGCGCACACACACACACACACACACACACACACACACACACACACACACACACACACACACACACACAAGTAATGTGTCTATAGTTATATTGTGATGTCTTAGTAAATATTGTATTTGGTGAAAGATAAACTTTATTGTATTTATCCTAGTGGATCTATAATTAAACGGATAAACTAGTATTAGCACATCAAAAGTCAATGAAAACCAAAAGTTATTATCAGGAGAGAGAGAATGTATTAGTGGTTAGCAGCAGTGTGCTAGTCGATGGCCCCCTCCATGAGGCCACCACAGCTCAGCAGAACGTCATTGTAGCTTCTTCTGGGGAGAAAAACACTTACAGAGAAAATAAAGTTAACAGCTGAAATTGCACAAAATAGTACAGTTAAAGAGCAGACTGTAGAATAATGCAGTAGAGTGTGAAAAGTGGTCAGTGTGTCCTCCAGCAGTCTAAGCCTATAGCAGCATAACTACAGAGATAACTCTGGATAATCTATCCTATTTAGATGTAGGCATGTTGGAGGCAGGGCAAGGGAGAGCCGTCTTTACCGACTGTACACTCCACCTCCCTGTACTCCCCCACTTGTCCAGATTTAGGCTAACATCAGATTTTAACTATAGGCCCTATCAAATAAAAATGTTTTAAGCCTTTTCTTAAAAGTAGACAAAGTGTCTGCCTCACGGACTAAAGCTGGGAGCTGGTTCCACAGGAGAGGAGCCTGATAACTAAAAGATCTGCCTCCCATCCTAAGTTTAGATATTCTTGGAACCACCAGTAGACCTGCAGTCTGAGAGCGAAGTGCTCGGTTAGGAACATATGGAACAATCAGATTACTGATGTATGATGGACCTTGATTATTAAGAGCTTTATATGTGAGAAGAAGGATCTTAAAATCTATTCTGAATTTAACAGGTAGCCAATGTAGGGAAGCTAAGACAGGAGAGATATGATCTCTCTTTTTAATTCTCATCAGAACTCTAGCTGCAGCATTTTGGACAAGCTGAAGACTTTTAACTACATTCTGTGGACTTCCTGAGAGTAATGAATTACAGTAATCCAGTCTTGATGTAATAAATGCATGAACTAGTTTTTCACTATCACTCCTGGAAAGTATGCTTCCAATCTTAGCAATATTCCGAAGGTGGAAAAAGGAAATCCGACAAACTTGTGAAACCTGGGATTTGAATGACATGTCCTGGTCAAAGATAACACCAACGTTCCTTGCTTTGTTCTCGGAGATTAATGTAATGCCATTCAGGTCAGGCGATTGGCTAAGCAATTTCCTTTTCTGGATTTCTGGTCCAAAGATGAGAACTTCCGTCTTGTCTTGATTTAAAAGCAAGAAGTTTAGAGTCATCCAATTTTTTATGTCCTCAAGACAAGCCTGTAATCTACCCAACCGATTAGGTTCATCAGGGTTAATGGATAAATATAACTGAGTATCGTCAGCATAACAGTGGAAGTTTATCCCATGCTGTCTAATGATTTTACCAATTGGGAGCATATATATAGTAAAAAGAATTGGTCCAAGCACTGAACCCTGTGGTACTGAAGAGGCTTAAATGTATTCATACTGTCATTTAGAAGCATTTAGTCAGCCAAACACATCTAGCCTGGCCTGCCAGACTCCTCCTCTGTTTAATTCTGCACAGACACACACTCCTATTCAAATAACCCCACCCCCTGAGTATTCTAACCGAGCCAATCAGCGCTGAGTAGCGTACGTCACACACCAAAACGCCGAGTTTGTCATAAACATGGCGACTAAAGCGGAGTTCGCTGCGGCTCTTTCCTTGATTCTAAATGACTTGGGACACGTCTTTAAAATCACAACAAGAAGAAGAGCTAAAAGCCTTTCTTCTAGAAAAAAAGATGTTTGCGCAGTCGCCAGACGCCATTTTTGACTACAGCTAAAAAACTACAGTGACGCTCAGTTTCTCATAAACAACGAAGACAGAGGCGGAGTTCGCTGCGGCTCTTTCCTCTGTTCTAAATGACTTGAATGTCTTTAAAACCATAAGTAGAAGTGCTAAAAACCTTTTTTCTAAAAAAAAAAAAAAAAAGATGTTTGCGCCGTTGTCAGACACATTTTCTGACTACAGCTAAAAAACTACAGTTTTGCGCGGTACAGTTGACATTTCCATCTGTTTTCTGATTGGTTATTTTGGAGTTGGCAAGTCCCGCCCCTCATGTGCCTCTCTGCCTGTGAGTTACCAGACTCATTCTCTGTGCAGAATTAAACAGAGGACGAGTCTGGCAGGCCAGGCTAAAACACATCAGCAAGTAAGCATCTAGTTGTGGTGAAGACGACCTCAGAATGAGGAACAAAAAGAATTTTAAGGGCCTGTGAACATGGCTGGTTCCGGATGGGCTGGCAGAAACTACTGATCTGCAGGGATGTTCACCCACAACCATCTTGAGAGTTTTGGTCTGATAAAGAGAAAAGGAGATTAAAGTGAGACTTTTTAACTTTTTCCTATCTTTAAATCCTTTTCTTTAGCCAGTAGTGTATGCTGACAAACGTTTTGAGTTAATGAAAGGCCACCCAGCCCTGTGGCCAGAATATTCCACTTGCAACTTCAGACTGGTATGATCAAAGCCTATTTGTTGAATTTAATTTAGTGATGAATCACCTCTTTAGACACTAAGGAAGGCTGGAGAGACATTTCAGCTTTTAGATTAAGGTGTTTAAAAGACAAACGCCCAGCAAAGAGATAAGTTTTGCTTTCAGTTCTATGAACAGACACTAGGGGGTGCTAAAAGCAGCCAAAACTGCCTAGTTCCCCTTGAAAAAGTCTGAGGAGACTGGGTGGACCGGTCTGAGGCAACCGTAGTTGTTTGGAAAGTTAGGGCTCACGCCATGACAGAATTTTCATAATTCACATAATCTCCCAGAAAGTTTTTTTTTTTTTTTGTCTTCTGGATTAAAGCAATTTTCTTCTAAGCTTTAGAGATAAAAAGAAACATAGGAGGAGGTGTGAAGTTTGAAAATGATGAAAGGGTTTTATTAGAGGCAGTTAAAACTCTGTTTGAATGTTTTGTCAGCTTATTCGTGGGGAAAAGGAATCGAATGAGCTGCGCACCATCGCAACTGATAAATTTTAAATTCCGGAAGTGGAGGAAGTAACATAATTAGCCTGAACAAGGTTACTTGGAAGAAAGATGTATTCTCTGGATTCTAGTTGTTATTGATTATTTTCTCAGCTGGTGTCTCTGCTTTCCAGGATTTATTCCTCCTCCTCTGATCTTTGGTGCGGGGATTGATTCCACTTGCCTTTTCTGGAGCTCGGACTGCGGCGACAAGGGCGCCTGTCTGCTGTATGACAACATGAAGTACAGACACCTCTACGTGAGCCTCGCCATCATCCTCAAAGGCATGGCCTTCCTCCTCTACTCCACCTCGTGGCTCTGCTTGCGCCGCAACTACAAGAAATACATCAAAGGAAACGAGGACCACTCGCCATCGACGGAGTTTTGCCCATCCCTCATCGACGGCCCCAAACTCGTGGACAGAACAAAGTTTATATATAGCCTAGAGGACCATGAGTTTTGTGAAAACATGGAGTCGGTTCTATAAGGAGAATGTGGACTTTCACCTCCTCCTCTCATGATGTTTGATTTAAAGGCCCGTACAGGTCAGAGGTGCTTTTCCAAAAGGGGTCCACTCTAGGTGTTTATCAGCAAGGTGTCCTTGCATGTTGCCACTGAGATCCTGTGTTGACTTGTTGGTAGAACAACTGTACCCCTTGGTCCTTTTTCAGCGAGTGGATTTATGACACCATCTCCACTCTAGTTCTTGTGTTGGGTCAACCACGATCCCGGTAATCGTAATATATGGGGGGGAGGGGGACAGTTTTTTTTTTTTCAGTCAGCACTAAGTTCTGTCACTGAAATATTTAGATTTTATAGTTTGAAGAAAAAAAAGGAAAGAAGAACCACTCGAGTGAGTTCTTCGGTCGTTGCCAAGTGTTTACAAACTAATAGCCGATCAGTCACTGTAGTTTTGCTTCAGTGCAGGAAGGTTTCTTATAGAAAGAGACCAGAACCACCCGGACCGGGTTATTTATAGTGGCCTATTAGACGTTGCTTTTGCTGGATCTTGGAATCTGTTTTTGATACTCGCCTAGACTGGATGCTCCTATATCATAGGTGCAATTCAGATCTGATATTACTTTTGCACTGCAGCAGGTTGCTTCACATTCATGTTTGTTTGCAGAATTCATTCAGCCTCATTTGTCTTAAACAAGGGATTAAAATGTTTAGATTCAGATTATTCCTTCCTTTCTTTAGTTTGGCATCTCCACCAAGCGAAGGAGCAAAATCTGAAAAATAAACCTTGTCACGCAATTATGAGCGTTTATTAGGTTGTGCTAAAAAACAACAGTATAAATTAAATATAGCATAATCTAATGTTTGCGTGTCTTATCACAGAACGTGTTAGAAGTAAATGTGTCTGTGTTTAGGATCAGACGCAGCTTGTAAGATCCAAAGTTCAGAAACAAGATGGAAGGCTTGACTCGCGTTACTCGACTCATCCCTCTGCAGTTACGGTTACACTTTGTCCCTTTTTCTTATACTTTTTGTATGGCAAAATATCATTTATTTTGTTCTGGAAATAAATTATTTTTCAGAAAAATTCAACAGAACTTGAAAGCTTCTTTATTTGCTTCTTTATTCTTATATTTTGCATCCAAAGAACCAACAAAACACATTTGCAGTCTTTTATACCAACGATGGACAAACCAAACACTTGACTCACAGTAAGTTGTACAAAATAGTACATGTACTAGAATGAAATACTCAGCATGTAGTTGATATTCGTGGCTCATGACGTGCTCTTGATGTTTCAATAATTCCATGTAGCATGTCCCAAAGATATGAGCTTAAGTCAGCATCTGAAGCTTTTATTGTCACTGAACCAGCGTCCCTCTACTACGAGATGACAGTTTCAGAACAACATAACAGGACTAAGCTGAATTGTGGGAAGGCGGCCTTTGGACAGGCACTCCCATGCGCAGGAGTGAAGCAAGGTAGACAAACCAACAACAGGGGAGGGGCAAATGAGGGAGAAAAGTAGTTTCAAATGTAAATCCACAGTATTTGTGATCATAATGGGTATTAAAATTTTTTGAATCGTTCTGCTCAGCATCAATCTTCACCTAAACCTAAATAAGGAATAGTTTATATTAAAAAGAAAATTATCTTCTAGATCGCTCAAGATAAAAATCACAAGGAGCTTCACAAAAACAAAACATTTAAAATGTTAAAAGGATTTTTAAAAATATGTTTAAAATGAGAAAAAAATGTTTTGATTAAAATGTAAGGAAAAGGAGAGAGGGAAATTGGTGAATCCCCGGAAAGGCAGAATAGAAGAGGGTGGTGACGAAGATCACGTAAAAGCCAGCCTGAACAGGTGAGTCTTCAGCTGCTTTTTAAAGGAGACCACAGAGTCCACTGATCTCAGGGGGAGAGAGTTCCAGAGTCTGGGGGCCACAGCAGCAAATGATCCGTCACCTTTGGTCTTTAGCCTGGTGCGCTGCACAACCAGTAGGCTTTGATCACTGGACCTCAGGGACCTGCTGGGGGTGTAGGGACTGAGAAGATCACCAATGTATGATTACATCTATAAAATTCCAGTGACACATAATAGAATAATCAAAGCTCTGTATAAGAGTTTTAACTCTGTCTGTATGTCTGTAAAGGGGGCTGGCTTGTCTTGATCACAGGCAAGGGGTTCTTCGTGGATCAAAGGTTGGATTTACAGACCTGGACTAGATTATTCTACACTAATGGCAGAGTCTGAACGATTTTTGAAAGATGTGTTTTTCTTTTCTTTCACACATACGGGAATAAAAATTAAAATGTACAAAACTCCTAAATGTATCTTGCTTGGCCGGGCAGATCTCTGGGTGATCAGCACCCCTAAACCTCTGATCCTAGAATTGGCCCTGGTTACATCATTTTAACTTTTTATTTTTGTAAAAACTTTTTGAAGTAATACATATGATGGAATGTGGCCTCGGTTTGGAGAAATAGAGATCATTGTAGTTTACACTGAGGCTAGTCTGAGCTGGCTGGGACAAGGCCAAAGTGGATCATTGCTGTATTAAAACAACAATTAGAAAGCATTTAACACAAATGTGATTTTTATAAATCTTTAAGACAAGAAACAACTTTATTTATCCTGAGGGAAATTGTTTTGTCATAAACAAGCTCAGTGCACCAAGACGACTAAAATTAAGACAGTGGGAAGTTTAAAAACTTTATTAAACAGGAAAAGATTAAAACTCACTTGTTCAAGCTGGCTTTTGTGTGACCTTCTTCACCAATCTTTATTCTGCTCTCCCCACCTATTCCACCTTCCTCAGGATCCGCTGATCCACCCATGCCTTGACTCCCACTTTCAGCCAATATGTGCTAAAATGACCCTTTACGGAATAATGAAATGTCACTCAGACCTCTACTGCCCTCTATATCGCACTTGCAACTTTAGAGTAGTGGGCCGCCATCAGTGGACTTAGAAGAAAATGAGCTTACAGTACATGCCTGTTTCTGGAGTCTGCACAGCTGATTTGTTTGATTTAGTGATGAATCACTTCTGGGATGACATTTCAAATCACCAGTTCGATTAAGGTGTTGAAAAGAGAAACACAAAGCAAGGAGATAAGTTTCGCTTTTGGTTATACAAAATGAACACTAGGGGGTGCTAAAAGCAAGCCAAAGCCGCCAAGTGCGCCTTTAATATGTCAATTTAATCTAGGACTTGTTGTGGCTCGCAGGTACTTTAAAGAGTACTATTTTTGCTGAACATATGTTGGAATAAAGTCCAAAACATGAATTGGAACACCTGATGTCTATTTTACTAGATGTTGGCTATAAAAAAAACATACTTCTAGTTTTAACCCTAAACTTTTAATTTAAAATTTTAAAATTTTAATTAGAAAAAAATCAAGGCTTATCCATTGATAGGTAGTAGTGCATAAAGTCTGAAACAATCAGAGAAGCAACATTTTGACAAAAGAAATCAGCATAATTGTCACATGAAATAAAACTGATGGACAAGCTTGTTATTTTCCACTCTTTCATGTAACACTTAAGCATGAGAAAAGCAGAAATAACAGATTACATTTTCAAATCAGATGAATCTGAACCCAATTTATTTCACCAGGTCATTTTCAATTTTCCAGGTATACACAGAAACACAGTCACACCTGCCTGTTGCCAATTAGTGAGTGACCTGAGCAGTATGCCAGAAATGCATTTAGTGTTTGCTGTGCTCGATCTCTGAATGTGCAGAGAATCAGAAGTTTGGTCGGAGAACCTTGAGCTTCAAGATTTAAATGAGCACAAAGCACTGCAGCCCTCCTGCAATTCAAAACAGCAGAATGTAAGAGTGATCTTGTTTTTGCCCAAATAAATGTGATTTTGTTGGTGTTAAAGGAATAGTTTGGATTTGTTTGAAGTTCTTAGGTGCAGAGGGAGTTTTGAACAACCTCAGTTTGAAGAATTAAAGACAGATTTTCATTGGCTAAAAGTCAAGACCAACAAAACGCCTTTGGTACAAAAAGTACACTTAAAATGTCTGTGTTTGTATGCATGTATGAATGGATGTACAATTTTATTGACTAATATGTGTAAATGTGATTTAAATTCATATCAATGTTTACACTTTTTTTCTCTCTCTTTAGCTTAGTCATGTGTATAGATTTGTTGGTAAGCATGTTCCACTGCCTTGCATAAAATGGGATATATGAATACAGTTTTGATTGGTTGGTTGGTTGGTTGGTCGGTCGGTCGGTTGATTGATTGGACAGTTGTAGCACAGGAGGTGGAGCAGGTTGAGCAGTAATTGGAAGGTTGTAGGTTAGAGCCTGGCTCCCATCAGAGAATGTTGCTGTTGTGTCCTTTGGAAAGACACTTAACCCACCTTGCCTGCTGGTGGTGGTCAGGGGGACCGATGGCACCAGTGCTCAGCTGTCTCACTTCCGTCTGTGCGCCCCAGGGCAGCTGTGGCTACATCGTAGTTTATCATCACCAGCATGTGAATGCGTGTGTGTGAATGGGTGGATGACTGTGCCGTGAAGTGCCTTGGGGGGTTGAATCCAAAGAAGGTGTTATACAAATGCAGGAAATTTACCATTTGATTGATTGATTGATTGATTGATTGATTGATTGACTGATTGATTGATTGATTGGTTGGTTGATTGGTTGATTGAAATACAGATCTGTGTTTTTTGTTTTGCTTTCTCAGGATAAAAACTAAGAAAATCTGTTCGTAAGTGTTCCCAGTTCTGGCACTAAATTGACAGAAATAATCCTCCAAACTAAAGTAATCTAAAAAGCAGCAACAGGTTACATAAATATTTATGATGTTTCCAGAGATGGCACCACATTTTATGTGGCTGCTCCTTTTAGCCTTTTGAATGATAAATGGCCTGTATTTATATAGCGCCTTCTTAGGGTTCTACAACCCCCCAAGGCACTTCACAACACAATCAGCCAACCACCCATTCACACACACACACACACACACACACACACACACACACACACACACACACACACTAGTGATGATGAGCTGCATTGTAGCACAGCACACTGACGGAGGCGCACTACCGGTCCCTTTGACCTGCAGGCAAGGCGGGTTAAGTGTCTTGCCCAAGGGCACAGTTAAAACACAATATGTGAAAAACAATTGCAATAAAAGTAGCTGTACCTAATTTATTTTTTTCTGAGTGCACATAAAAATGGCTGTGACAAATATAATCAGTTTGGGCTTTTCTTTTACCCATTTCTCCCTGCGACTGCTTTTAAATTGCAACCTCAGCATAGCACCTCTTCAGGAGGACAAGAATCTGCCTCAGTAGACAACAGTCTGTGATCATTCTGATGCACAACCCAACAAAGACACCATAACTGCAGCTTCAAAATGTCCTTGTTGAAAGTTGAAAAAAATAAATAAATCCACCAATCGACACAGAAACAGCTGCAGGCAAAACGTATTCTCTGCTAATGGAAAGCTGTCAGTTAGCCTAATGAGCGCTTCATTGAGACAAATAGTTGCACAACAAATCAAGCTGAGAAAACAAAGCGCTAAATCGTCACTTTCACTTACTTCTACTCTGTCCTGTTATTCTGCAAGAGCTGCTGACAAAGAAAACACAATTAGAATTGCAAGATCACATCATTTTACATCAGCTGCACAAGGGTTTTAGTGCAGAACTTAGTGCCAGTCAGGATTAAATTTTATTACTTGGATAAATATCATCATTTGTCTTGTTGTTTTGTGCATTCTCGAGAGCTGCACTCTTCAATTTATGTAAATCAGACCTTTTCCCTCAACAGCTATAAAAAGCAACTCGCTGGGTAATATGTGCATAAAATTTGAAAGCAGGTGGCGCTGTCAGTAAAGATTTGTTTCTACCACAGGGTCTTTCATTTGTTACCAATGAACCACAGATGTATTTTCAGATTGGAGATCTGATAGAGATGATGATAAATCCAACATATGAAATAATCTGGGTTCTTGTTACAGGCTGTGGTGTTGGGATGGTAAAATCAGGCTTGTGGTTTTCTTCATATGTATCTCACAGATCAACCTTATTGTTTTTATCAAACAGATCCAATTCCTCTTATGTACAATTTG